ACCACCTCTGCGCATCGTCCCTCATTGAGAAAGAGAAAAGCATCATTCTCACCTGATCATCAGTAAGCCCAGGTATTTTGAAAGTCTGGCACATCCTCAGGAAGCGGGTAATATGTACCACTGGGTCTTCTGTAGGGCCTCCTCCAATTTGATTATTGGACACCATGTTTATCACCGCCGGCTTGATTTCATAACGGTTGGCAGTAATTCCCGGCACTTGAATACTATCATACTCTGAAACGTTTGGTGTAAGGAACTCTGCAATGGTCTGGCGCTGATAGAGTGGATTATTGTGCGGTACATATGGATTGGGTGGAGGCGCCTGATGTCTAGGCTGGGGGGGCTAGTTATGGCTGAGTAGGTGGGACTTGGGTTTGGTTTTGAAACTGATTGGGGTATGGATTTTGGTACTGGGGCTGATTTTGGAATGTAGGTTGATTGATTGGAAGTGGGTTCTGTCTCGGTTGGAAAACGGGAATACTCTGCCCTGCTCCTTGCATCCCATAAACTTGGTTTTGAAAATTGGTTTCAGGAGTAGTAGGGGTATTTTGAAAAAGGTGATATAATGGAGGGAAATTAAATTGTGGTGAAGACTGATTTTGGGAAAAGATCGGAGTGCGGTAATTTTGAAAACCTGGAGGGTTTCTAGGTGAAATTGGTGGTGAAGATTGGGGTGATAAGTTATGATAGAAATCTGGCTGAGAAGTAGGGTTGGGGTTACTAGATGACCCTATGTTTCCAGATGAAGATTGATGGTCCATGGTAATTTTCCCTTTGTGAGCCTTGCGGTTCTGTCTGGCGAGCTTTTCAATCTCAAGATTAAGAGGGATTAACGGTTCTCCCCTCTTGGAGCGTGTACACATAAACAGATCTGACATGCAAGGTTAGCAGACAAAAATCCTACGAAAAACTAAAAACGAATCGCTGAGTTAAATTAACCCTTAAGACCGACACCGTCCCCGGCAACGGCGCCACAAACTGAAGTTGGATTTTCTCGCACTTAAAAAGATTGTAATAAAGTGGTGTAAGTACGAGTATCGTCTCCACAGGGACGGACAAAAGGGAATCAAGAATTAATTAAATTCAGCGATTAAAAACTAACTAAGAAAAATAAATAAATAAAATAAATTGTGCGAGAATGGTTTGGGTTGGAAAATTATATTGGAATTAAACTAATGCGAATGAGCGAATAAAAGTAAAGGTTTGGGTTCTTCTTAATTAACAACGAAGAGAACATGGATTGATTTCTGGAGTAATCAGATTTCTGGCAGATCAGGCCTAATTACATGAATTTAATTTAATTGAGCCTAGCTAATCAATACTAGGTTCTTACCGCTCTCGCGGCGTAGAGTACAATAATTTAGGGGGTCAGACTGATCTCTCATTCGACAGGATCCTAAATTATTGCCAAGACGAGCGAGCTTACGGCCCCTTAATCGCTACTAATCTCTTAGTGAACGATTAAGTGTGTGTGAATGTGTGCTAGAATAAACTAGATCTCTCTTAATTTATTCTACAAACAATTGTAATTCTAGCCGCGGTTCCAGATTACAAAAGATAACAGTTAAATTATTCAAACACAAACTAAACGGCATTCATGTAATCAAACCATCAAGAAACTAGCCATACATCATGATAAACCCCTTCATCAACCACAAATCCCTAATTAAAACTACTCCCTACTCATAATTGAAAAATCAATAGAATTGGGAAGAATAGAATTAATTGTCATTAATCAAAAAGTATGAACTTATAAAGAATGTTAAGGAATTGAAAAACCTGACTGAAAAGCTCTCTAATTTTCATCCTTAATCAGGTCTCTAAAGTCCATCCCCATTTAATTAGGGTTTTAGGGTGGTATTTATAGGAAACAAGGCAATTTGAGCTGAATTAGGAAAGATTTTGGGTACGCACGGCACGACGCACGCGTGCGTGGCGTCCGTGCATCCGACAGAAATCTGCGTAAAAAGGGGGATGCACACGTGTGTCCCTAGCCACGCACGCGTGCGTGGCTGGCAATAAGGTCTAGTTCGTTTTCTTCATTGGACGCACGCGTGCGTCATTGCACACACGGCCGTGCGTAGCCCTTTCTCTTCCGAATTCCTCATTTTCTCCCGTTCAAGTCCCTGTTTGGCCCCGCGATCAATCGAACAACCCTTTCTTCATCAAATCTTCATCATGAATCTCCCGGTGCCCTTCAAAACTCTGAATTCATTCTCGAACACTCCTCAACTCATCCCGATCACTCTTTAATGCGCCGATACCGGGCCCTAAAAGACTTGATTTCATATCTAAAAATGCCAAAACTCGTTCTAACACCCGACTAACATGACTTGAGCTAAACATGATACTTATGACGTCTTAAAGCGAGGAAAACCATCAAAATCCGACTCCAACACGCATTAAAAGCATGTTGAAATACGAACTTATCAATTAGCAACCGTAATATAAAGTGATCCAGAATAAGAGGATTTATTAGACAATGTACCTTCATTAGGCGTCATCTGAGCAGATGCACCGGAGTCAGGGTACCAAACAACATATGAGGATTCTTCCGTAGAAACAGCTAAAGCCGGAGCCGGAGACTAACTAAAGCGAGAGCAAGTGACAACGGAGTGACCCGGAGAATGACATATTTGACGCACAACTGGAGGAGGAACACTACCAATGTTATGGTCAAAAGATGGGGGAGCCGATGATAAATGATAAGAAATAGAAGCAGATAAATCATAAGTATTATACCGTGACTCAACCGAATTACCTAGTACTGCACCTGAGGGTGCCACATAGGGATGTGAAGGCTGACCACCTGGAGGGCCGTGGAAGGCTGGTGGTGGTGGGGTCCATACTGCCCATAACCAAACTGCTGGGGCTGGCCATATGTGCGTCCACCGTGACCACGGCCTCCCCGCCTCTCTATCCGTGTCTACCACGTCCCCTCTGGCCGTAAGGTTGCTGCTGTTGCTGAGGAGGACCACCACGAGGAACTGGAGGTGCTCCGAGATTGGACTGAGGGGCAACGAATGCAGGTGATCCAAGACTCTGCTCTTGGCTTTGGTGGAAAAGAAACCAATGTTCTTGTTCGACTAACTTGGTGCTCAAGGAGTCAAAGGTAAGGCCCTCCGAGAATACAGTGAGAGGAGCAACAACAAACTGATAATCATGCCTAAACCGAGGAGTGTGTGCTAGAGCAAATCTTTCAAGGGAATAGGAGAATTAATGGCGGCCAGGGTGTCAGCAATATTCTTGATATCTTTTAAATAGTGGTCCATGGATTGCGATTCTTTTTTACGTAAACGACTAAGCATACTTTTGAGTTCCATAGAACGAGCTAAACTAGCAAGCATAAATCGAGATTCAAGATGAGCCCACATAAGATCGGAATGCTTAATATCATGTACCTCAACCAGAATATCACGAGATAACGTAACAAATAACTATGAACGCACAGTTTGATCTAATTTTAACCAGTGACAATACTCATAATTTATTACTTGACAATTTTGAAAATTGGTAATATACATAGAGGGAGTCTAGAATTGTACCATCTAAAATGACAAGTAAACTATGAGAGACCAAAAAGAATTCAAACTGAGTAACCTACGGTAAATAATCTTCCACAACATTTGACTTTGTGGTTACAATATTAGTAATGTTCATGGCCAAAAATCCCAAGGATTGTGAAAGTGCTGCCAAGGAAGAAGTATGTTGAGATACCTATGGGCGGGTCCCCATTGGATTGATCTGTGGCGGTAAGGATGCGTCAGGAGAACCAATAAACGTAGACCCAGCAAATTGGCCATCGTTCGACATAGCAAGAGACGAAATGATCTCTGGGTTTTGGACGCCGCTGGAAGGAACCACCGTCAATGAAGAAGCCATGAATGGAATCACCGGAGTTGTAGGGGACCAGGTGAAAATCGGTGGATCCCAGTTACCGAGTGTGAGCGGCGGAATAGTAGATAACGCCGGCGAGCTCCGGAGAGGATGAATGGTTGCGGCATGGAGATCATGGCGCCGAACTGGCTCTGCTGAAGAGTAGGATTTTCCATGGTAGATGTCGTGTAGGATGTTGTCGAGGTCAGAGGCGCTGCCGTGGTGGAAGATGTCGTTGATGATATAGCCATGAATGGAAGATGTCGTTGATGAGGAAGCCATGAGCGAAAAATAATTTGGATGCTTACCAATAATGGAAGTCTATTTATTTATAATAAAATAAAAGAGTTCAAGATACATAAGGACTCCTACTATAATTAGACAACCTAATAATATTAATAAATACTATGTACAACCGGTGGGCGTAGCTCAAATGGCAGCAAGGGAGTGTCACAAGGGTTAGATTCCGGGTTCGAATCTCGGCAACTGCGATGAGAGGTTACTATGCTAAACATACATAGGCCCTCTGCAAGTACCGAGGACAGAGCCTCACTCTCTATTTGTCAGATTGTGATTATAATCCAACTTACCTCCTCCCAACGTACCGTCCGGTCGGGATTGGGGCCCTCAAGGATGGGGTGTCATCCTTTTTTTATAAATACTCTTGTACATTATTATAAAGTAGTACAATTATGTAGGAGAATTTTCTATTCAATAAAAAACAGGATGACACCCCATCCCTGAGCGGCCCCCAACCCTGACCGGACGATACGTTGGATGTAAATTGGACTATAATCCCAATCTGACAGATAGAGAGTGGGGCTCTGTCCCCGATACTTGCAGAAGCTCTATGCAATTTTAGCATAGTAACCCCTCATCGCAATTGCCGAGATTCGAACCCGTGACCTAACCCTTATAACACTCTCTTGCTACGAGTTGAGATACGTCCACCGGTGAATTTGCTACTCAATTGAATATATTGATGATCCTAAAGGCCATCATACACCCTCGAAAATTTTGACATACCCCGAGAGTCGTGAGACCACGCGCACCCAGTTCTCGTGCCCACTGTCATGCTTTCATACATGCCATACAGCTACTGCTCCCAGCCCTACTGTGCTCCACAACAGAACCAGAGAAGAACAATGACTGATCACACCCTCTTTCTCCTTCTTTTTTCACTGTTCTCTCTCGGATGTAAATGTCAGTTTCCTAACTAGGTATGAACACAAGATCCAGGTCTGGGTATCATCTCTTCCCTGTTTCCTGACACTTACTTCAAGAACATGGTTTGCTGTTCAATCTGGAGGCGTCTGGCGCTGGTGATGTTTCTGACATGCGCCGCCCTTCCCCGGCCGGCGTCGCCGGATCCGAGCGATGAACAGTGCCTGACCAATTTCAGAAAGATGTTGCAGGACCCGATGAAGAATTTGCAGAATTGGACCAAAGAAAGGTTCGCTAACCCTTGCCAGGGCTTCACCTCTTACCTGCAAGGCGCGACCTGCAACAATGGCCGCATCTACCAGCTCTCGCTCCGGGATTTCGCCCTCAAAGGCTCGATTTCTCCCTATCTCTCCAATTGCACGAATCTCCAGGCCCTGGACCTCTCCTCGAACTCCCTCACCGGGTCAATCCCCCCGGAGCTCCAGTTCCTGGTGAACCTCGCCGTCCTCAACCTCTCCTCCAACAGCCTCTCCGGTCCGATCCCGCCTCAGCTCGCCCTCTGCGCTTACCTCAACGTCGTGGATCTCCACGACAACGAGCTCTCCGGCCCCATTCCTCAGCAGCTGGGCCTCTTGCAGCGGCTCTCCGCCTTCGACGTCTCGAAGAACAGGCTTTCCGGCCCGATTCCGGCGTCGATGGGAAACCCAGGCGGGAGGTTGCACCAGTTCAACGCCAGCTCGTACGAGGGGAATAAGGGTCTTTACGGGTACCCATTACCGCCCAGGAAGAGAAATGGACTATCCGTATCAGCCATTGTGGGTATCGGGCTGGGAAGTGGGTTCTTGAGCATGGTGGTTAGCTTCACCGCTGTTTGTGTGTGGCTGAGAGCTAATGAGCGAAAAACGGCTGCTGAAGAAGTGAAAACTGAAAATCATAATTACTAAATCAGGGTTTTCTTGGTTTATATTGATATTAAATCATAGTTCAAACACTGGACCATGCTTTATTCTTGGTTTTCTTGTTGATCAATTACTTGGTACATTTTAGTTTTCAACCTTCTAGGTGGTTGGATTTTGAGGAGAAAAAGGGTGGCAACCAGGCAGGAGGTTTCTTTCCTTCCCTTTCATGAAAAGAATGCTGTTTTGTTCTTCTTTGCTGATCACTGAAAATATACCATTTCTACTGTTTTTGGTTTCTCTGCTTGATAAAGCACCAACCAGACGGGTTTTGGTGCTTTTACTTGCCTTCATAAACATTGACAATGTGCAAGGATCTTAATGTGATTTAATGGAAATCCTGCAGTATACCTTTGTTATTAGACTATTATTATTATCGTTTTGTCCACCCGGCTCGGAAAAGACCAAAAAGAGTCGATTTAATGTAGATGGATGTTGACTATCTCAACCAAGATGGTCATTTTCTCTGAGAAAATTGCTCCAAATAGGATTCATTAATAGCAATTTTATAAAAACAGGACATACTTAAGTTTGCTCCAAATTGCGTACCACCTATTTAGTACCACACCTATTTAGTTCTATTCCAGTAAACTTGATTTTAACTTTCCACTTTTACCCTTCACCTATTTATTAAAACTAAATACCTTACATCTCTAACGACCATAACCTTCATGCAACCACTCTTCATTCGTAATTTTGTATGGATTTTTTCCATTCTTCCACACTCGACAGCTGCCTATGAATTCGATGAACTACGTCCATAACTCCATATCCTCTATTAATTATGGACGAATTCGACTTACAGAATCATACTTGAATTGTTCTTCGAGAGTTCATTTTCAAAATTCAGGTAATTTGAACGATCGATCATAATTCATTTATACTAATTTTCGCTCATTTTTCTGCGAACGTGTTGTTCAATTCTGCATCTGAAGTATTTCTCTCTGTTTTTTCCATCCTACACGCCTTCGTTTATCCATTTCCATTTCCATTTCCGGATCATAACTGTTTTGGAAATGGAACTAGATCTTACCAGGAAATTTTGAAAAGTGATGCACATCTAGGCTAACAAGTTGCACTGCATCCGCCTCTACTTTGTATGCAAAACGAATTCTTTTGGATATATAGCCATGTTCTTAAATTAACACTTACTTGATGCCAGAACAAACATTAATAATACTCTTAACTTATTGTTGAAGTCGTTGGTAATTTCACTTTTTACGGCATCGCGAGCAGTCTACATGAGCTGGCAGTGGCGGATCCAGCCCGAAAGGTTATTGGGGGCAAGATTTTGGTTTGATTTATAGACAAATGTGTATAGAGTATATATTTTGAATGTGTACTAAAGAGTAACATTACACACATTTCTTCTTGAACTTAATATATACTTCGTATTTTTTTGTACAACTTCTTGAACTTAATATAAAATTATGTTTTTCGAAATGATATTCAGGAACAAATAATCAAAAATGATTATAAGAGGCTATCTTTCTGTTGGTAAAGGGTGGTTTTAACTTTAAACTCCTAATAAGTACTACCTCCGTCCCCCTAAGTTTGGGACAAGATAATGTGACACACTTATTAATAAAAGTGGGTTTATGTGGTTTATATTGTATTGATAAAGTAAGAATGATTTAGAACCACACAAATTTTACCAAATAAGGTATGTGACAATCTTAGTGGGACAGAACGAAAAGATAAAATGAGACAATCATAGCGGGACAGAGGGAGTATTAATATGTTATCGCTTTTCATTTTCTTATTTATATGTTAATGATGTGCAAATTATTTTTTTGCTAATTTCACCTAAAGTAAATTAATAAGAGTGCAGACTTTTATAGAGTTTTTCAGCAGAATATTACAATTAAATTTCAACGACGAAAAGAGTTCATATTTGGTTATTAGGAAATCATATAAGAAATGGTAAAAGAAATTAGACTAATGAATTTGTTAATGAAATACAAGTAGAAATAGAAGTTATATTGAACTAAAAACCAATATACAATTATACAATTTTGTTAATGATGATATTGAATTATTAGGGGTTAGGATAAACCACCTCATTTCGAAGTGTTTGATGTTTAAAGATAACATTATAGAGACTAAATTATGACATACTATCTATATACTCAATCATATCAAAATTTTTAATGATTAAATAAAATATTTTTAGATTTTGATGTAAATTATTATTGATCATGGTGATAAATGAATTAATTTTAGTCATAATCATATCAAACTTTTTAATCACATACTATTTCTTAGTAAAAAATGTGAGATAATTTAGGTGGATAAACTAGTGGTTTATTTAGAAATAGATGAAGTACGTTTTATTCCATGTGTATGAAGTTAAAGTTTACAATTAAAGAAAATGATGATAAAACATTAATACGGAGTATGTTGATGTGCTATATGATTATGTGGGCTGATCAATTTTGCTTTTTATGGGAGGCAATGACATATTTTTATTGGGGGCAATGACATATTTTTATTGGAGGCAAAGCATCCTATTATTAATTTTTTGTAATGGGTGTGCTAATTTATTGAGAGGTTATTGGGGGCAAGTGCCCTCATTAAGATGTATGTGTATCCGCCCCTGTGAGCTGGAGTTTAAAATATGTGATGATGAAAATGGTTGATCAATACCTCCATGTTGAGCGCTTTTTATATACTTCCTCTGGTCCCAAATCATATTCACAGTTTGACTTTTTGGCTTTTAAGAAAGTGGAATTTTTTTGTTGACTTTCCAAAAATACCCCCCAAAGAAGTTACCCCCATCTAATCAAAGTAAAAAAAACTGGAGGAAGTGTAATTGAAAAGCTGAAATTGAATGACATAAAGGGAAACATAGTAGATAGGTTACATTTCGGTGGCCAAAAAGGATGGAAGATTCCTTTTTGGATTCCCTCCAAAATTTTACTTTAGTCTTACACAACTTTATGTCTTTATCTATAAATACTAAAGCATTGAATACATTACTTCTAAACCTAGAAATCTTCTGCCATTTTCTTCCTTCTAAAGCTCTTCATTTATGGAGTCTTCTTCTATAAATGGTGCTTCCCAACAACCCGTTGTGGACCCCCTTGAAGAAGAAGATTCGGATGGTGAACCTTCACAAGACAACATTAACAGTGTTCAGCCAATAATAGATCTAACAGTGGACCCCACTGGAGGGGTAGGGGTACAAAGCAGTGGAGCAGTTAAACAAAAAAGGCCTAAGTTCAGCTTTGAAAATCGTAGGGCGTTGATTGAGAGGTTACTTGCAGTTTCAGTTGAAGGTAAACTTCAGAGGGGTGTGATAAGAACATTAGCCACCCAATTTAAAGTATCCACTCGGACCATTCACAAATTATGGAGTCAAGCAAAGCAAGATATGCAGAGTGGACATGCCATACAAGTGGAGCCCAGATTGAAGGGAAATGTTGGGAGAAAAAGAATTAGTTTTGATGTGCAAAAGATTGCCCAGATTCTCTTACATCAGAGGAAAAATCAGAGATCACTGGCATTTGCCATGTAAGTCTTAAAGACAACAGTGCAAAGGTGGTTTAAGACAAAGCAGATAAGAAGACATTCAAGTGCAATCAAGCTTCTTCTAACAGAAGTAGGGAAATTGAAAAGGTTAGAGTTTTGCTTAAGTCAAATCAATCCTCAATCAGTACACACAAGTCCAACATTTCATGATTTCTATGACTCTATTCACATTGATGAAAAGTGGTTTTATTTGTCAAAAGAGACAACTACTTTTTACACCCTTCCCACCGAAAATGATCCATACAGAACAGCTCAATCTAAAAAATTTATTCCCAAAATAATGTTTCTGGCTGCAGTAGGAAGGCCTAGAATTGCTGACGGTGGGGAGGTGGGGTGGGATGGGAAAATAGGGATTTTTTCATTCACATATCAAGACACAGCAAAGAGATCAAGCAAAAATAGACCAGCTGGGACTTTAGAAACCAAACCAGCATTGAGTGTGACAAGACAAGTAATGAAAGACATGATATTACACACCCTACTGCGAGCAATCAACGCCAAGTGGCCACAGTCATCAAACAGAAAGGTCATAATACAACAAGATAATGCCAAGCCACACATAGACATACATGATGCAGAGTTTCTTAAATCTGGGTCAAATGATGGATGGAATATCCAACTACAGTTTCAACCTCCCAACGGTCCAGATTTAAACGTATTGGACCTTGGTTTCTTTAGGGCTATTGATTCCATAAAGGATCAAAAGGCCCCAAAGAACATAATGGATTCAATACATGCAGTGCAAGTCTCATATGATGAGCTGACACCACAAACTCTGAACAAAGTCTTTTTGAGCTATCAATATGTCATGCAAGAAATACTAGATCACAGAGGAGGAAATGATTTCAAGCTAAGACATGTTGGCAAAGACAAGTTGCAAAGGCAGGGAATGCTACCAAAAAATATCCAAATATCCCTCGAGTTGTATGAAATAGCTAAGGCATTCATGGATGGACATATGGCAACAACTTCCACAAATCCAGCTGAAGGGGCTCAGTTCATAGATGAAGATGCACAACATCTTCAAGTATGAAGTAACTACCCTTTGTGGTTAACTTTTTGAATGTTTTATAAGTACACACAGGTTTGTAATGACTAGGTGGTGTACTGTTTTTGTATGTACCAGGGCAGGCAGTAGAGTACAATTTTTTGATGTACCCCCACTACAAGTGTACAATAATTTAGCTAAACACAAGCAATGTAAGCATATGGTAGTTGTTGATCAGTGTACAATGTACAATGTTTAGTAAGTACACACCTCACATTATTCACATAGACATCACAGGTACATGAGCATAGGCAAGCACAGTTATTCATGGTCACTATTAACTTTGCATAGGCAACACCACACTTCACATTATTCACATAGGCATCATAGGTACATCAGCATAGGCAAACTACATTTAATCATGATCATAGGTTACATTTCCTAAGCTACCACACCTCAACCCACATATAATCACAATCATCACAGGTAACTCACCATAGGCAAACCAACATAATCATGATCAAAGGTTACAAATCCTAGGGTAATACACCTCAGATTAATCACAGGTTCATCACCGGTATATGAGCATAGGCAAATGACGTGCACTTGTCGTGAGGTGCACTCAAAATAATTTATCAATACAACACTTATACGTAGTATAGCGTAGTAGAGTTCGTATCCACAGGGAAAGGAATACTTTTCTTCTATATAAATAGTAACAAGGGGGGGTTTTAAGTTTGATTTGATTTAATTCAATTAACACTAAGATAAACAACCTATATGAGTTTGATTAACGATGTGGTGGCTTGGTTTTTCTTTTATCCGCTTAATGAAATGTTCGTCGATCCCGGTTATATCTTTAACTATCTTCCTCTCGAATACTCAATCGAGGAGTATATCCATTTCATCGAGGGTAGTTATTAATAACGAGATGCGTTCATTAATAAAACTTACTATCAAGTCAATATAGAACAAGCGCCGTATATTAACTTGATAGTAGCGATAAACTTAAGATGAAAACGATTGAGATTGATAACCTCAACACAAGCGGTTTATTGGTTTAATCAATATAATTAATTCCCCTTGGCATATTAACCATGAGATGTATGCATTAATAATCCAAGTTTACTACCGTTGAAAGAACCGGATTAATAACAAGTGTATTAACCGATTGATTCTAGTAATAATTAATATGAGAAACAAAACTAGTTAATACTTTAAGTAATGTTTAAAATATTAACATGAAATATGAATAGGAATTAATTAATATTCAAGGAAGAAGATTAAAGAAAATAACTCACAACTTACAAATTCATTAAGCTTCAAAGTAGCAAAACCAAGATGGAAGAGTTTAGCTCCTTATTTGGAGACTAAACATGATGAAAAATATAAAGAAAGAACTATTCTATACTGAGCTTAGATGTACAAAGGAATTGGATATTCATTTGTGAAGGAAAGGGGGTGTATTTATAGGCTTTTGGGATGGGATTCGGGTACTCGATCGGGTATATACATGGTACCCGATCGGGTATATGTGTAATACCCGATTCGAGGTATACTCGATCGGTTTTAGGCTTATTTTCCAAAGGTATACCCGATCGAGTATATGTTCATACTCGGTCGAGTATGTGTAGAAAGTGATATTCGAGCCATACTCGACCGATTTTACGTTTAAACTCAAAGGCATACCTGATCGGGTATGTCGGTCTACCCGATCGGGTATAGACATTCAATCGTGACTGAAATCTTCCCGGCATGTTCCCTTGTCTTCGGATCTGATCCGATTTGAAGTTTCAACCTAATACCCGATCGAGTATAGGTGATACTCGACCGAGTATAGACCAAAATTTCAGGATCCTTCTTTTGTCTTCAAACTATGCACCTTCCTTCCACTTTTTGGGTTCACCAACTGTACTTTGAGTGATCAAGACCTGTTTGAGCTCAGAATATACCTAATCTAAACTATTTACTAGAATTTAACAAACTAATCTATTACACCAAAAGTGTGTAATTTCCAAAGTAAAGATCAAGCAAAACCAATTAAAAACACAAACATACATATGGAAATTACAAACGTATCAACTCCCCCACACTTAGTTTCTTTACTCGTCCTCGAGTAAGATCAAATGTTCACAAGTGTCAAGTTTTTCCAAAGTTTCCACAGTTTAAACAACATACAAACACAAAGACCACCAAGGATAACAAAAATGAGTTTTAAGCTCAAATTACAAAGAACATCTTGGGTTTTACGGCGTTCTAGTGTTCATCTTCTCTTCTCCTCCTCTATTCTTCTTCTTCTTCTTCTTCTTCTTCTTTGTTTTCTGAATCTTCTTATTCTTCAAAGAGATACAACGAGTGCCTGCAAAAACAAACATTTCTCTCATAACTCTCATTTTGCCTAGGAGCCTTTTCAGGTTTTCATCCTAGCATCTCTTTTCATTTTCCATTCTTCCCAACTCACTCATTTTTTTATAAGCCTTTTTTTGCTTAGATTGCCCATTTTGTTGGGTTTTCAACCTAATTACCATTTTTTTTCTTTTATTTATTCTCTTTTTTTGTGTGTAAAAAGTTCAAAAGAATTACATGCATAGTGCGAGGTGGAAATTAAAATTACATACCATGATGAGTCTCTCCCCCGCACTTGAACCAAGCACTGTCCCTAGTGCCCGCCTTCTCCGCCGTAGTAGCTGCCTCCGAAGCCGCTCCCCTGCCCGCCATCTCCCATGTATGTGTCCCCGCCATCTCCGCCGTCGTACCCTCCACCCCCGGAGCCAGATCCTCGAAAGTTACCCCAATGAGTGGGGTTATACCACGAGGGTGGTGGAGGGGGGTTCGCCATGGTATGAAAAGATCCTTGCTGTGCCATGTAAGAGTACATAGGTCCGTAGAACCTACGTTGGTCTTCTTCATACCGATGCCTATCGGCTTCCCGGAGCTCCTCCAATCGCTAAAAACCGGCCCTTTGCTCCTCCTGTATTTGGTTGGGCCGGTTGACATAGCCATGTAGTTCTCGTTCATTTGAGTGTACCCCGTAAGCAATTGTTGTTGACCCTCCAAAAGTTGTTGAAAGAAGTCGAGTGGTGGAGGGTTTTGATTTTGTTCGAGGATGTCGTTGTTCATGTCTTCATGGCCATGGGGATGAGCATAGGGTTCGTAATCGGGTTGGTATTGGGGAGGCTCTTGCTCCGGTTCACGGAGATGTGGTGGAAGGGCGTGTGGGAAGAGGTAATGGGGCTCCTCTACTGCTTCTCTGTAGCGCAGTTTGGGGAGTTCTTGGTTGGGTAGGAAGAAGTATTTGAGAGGCTTGGGGTGTATGAGCCAGTTGTACATATTTTTTGGTCTTTCTCCACCGTAAGCAGTGTGGGAAAAGGCTGTACATCCCGAATGGCCCAACCAAGATATGTTCATCAAACAATAGTCGGGTATAGGAGAGTTATTCGTATACCCGAACTTGGTGGCTAAGTGCATTATCACCCCACCCACAACAATAGCGCCCTTGGCTACGCTTTCCTTTTTCAGATGTGCCCACATACGATTGCACAGATTGAAATCCACATGAACACGGAATAGGGCCACAGACATTAGGCATACATCCCCCATCCTAATGTGATGGTTGTTGGGACGTCCAAGCAAGCAATTGGCAAGGAATTTCAAGAATAAGCGGAGGACAGGATGTTGGACATGACTAATATACAGTTGGGAGGAGCTAAATTTAGCCTCCCCGATCATCTTTGTCCACAGGGTATGGCCGAAAACGGTACTATCGGATATGGATTTTTGGTAGGGGACTGGAATACCAAAATGTTCGGCGAACTCAAGTTTCGTTATGGAGTGGTTGTGGTTAAACAGACGAAACTTGAGTTTATCATCCCTAAAATCAGCTTCATCGGTCTCAAATTGCACCGAACTCATGAATTCATAGATTATTTTTTCATTAGAGTGATATTGCATTTTGAATACACGATCCATGCTCAACTCATGAAAAAATTTCCTAGTGCTCTTATACACTCCTGACTCATTGAGAGCATCATGGCATAAAAAACGAGAGGGTTTTACTTGCCTTGCAATGGTGGAGATGAAGTGGGTTCGTTGTTCGTTGTTGGCGAAGATGATGTCCTCGTAGCTTGGGATGGATGCCATAGCGTTGGAGCTCTGCCCTTTTTCCTTCCTTGGTGCCATTTTTGGGTGATTTTGAGCTTGAAATCCGAAAAATTGAAAGTTGGGGTAGGGTTTTTCGGAACTCTTGAAACTGGGGGAAAGTTGGATTGGTGGGTATGGGTGTGTAGAGGAAGATGAGGGGAGTATTTTGGTGTTGGAATGAGGTGATTTGGTGAAGAAATGGAGAAGATATGGTAGAGAGAAGTGTTAAAAATGGAGGTTGGGGGAGAAGGGTTCGAAATTGGGTTTTGGAATTTGGGGAAGATGAAGTGTTTGGGGCGGTTTTGGGGTTAAAACGCCCGTATACCCGATCGAGTATGTGTTGTTACTCGGTCGGGTTTGGCTGGAAACTGGGATTGTTGAGTAGTCTGCCTCCGGTACCCGATCGGGTATAATACAATACTCGATCGGGTATGTATCCTTTTCCACGTTTTGAGGCCTGTACTCGATCGAGTGTGGGAGTCAACTTTCTTTAACCTTAGCCTTTCTGTACATACCCGATCGGGTATATAGTGATACCCGATCGGGTATCCGTTGTTTTTCAATTCTCGAGCCCTGTACTCGATCGAATGTGGGCATCAGTTTCCTTTGAACTTCGACTTTCTGTACATACTTGACCAGGTATATAGTGATACCCGATCGGGTATGCATGCTTTCTTTCAAAAATGAATACTTCTTCGATCGAGTAATGCCCGGTTCCCCTTCTTTTGGCCATACCCGACCGAGTATAAGGTGGTACTCGATCGGGTATGTCCCCAGATGCTTCAAACCCTGCATTTTTTTTTCTTTTCCAAAACCTGTGATTAATGCCCTCTCTCTCAACCTCGCAAAAATAGAAACTGAAATTTTTGACAGGGGAATTAACAACAAAATAAAAAAAACGTACCTTGCTTGGGTTGCCTCCCAAGAAGCGCCTTAGTTAACGTCGCGGCACGACACCATGGTTGTTTTCATTCTTCAAAGATTGGGTCGATGAGATCCATGCATTCAACGCTTTCTTTTGGGAAACCTTCAAGGAACGGTTTGAGTTGATGTCCGTTAACCTTGAGGATTTTTCCGGTGTCGAGGCTTTTTATTTCAACTGCTCCATGGGCGTAGACTTTGACCACCTCGAATGGTCCTTCCCATCGTGATCTCAATTTCCCGGGGAAAAGGCGAAGGCGTGAGAGAAAAAGAAGGACTTTGTCTCCAACTTGGAAATCCTTTCTTATTATCATTTTATTATGCCATACCTTCGCCTTCTTCTTGTAGATGGCGGCATTCTCATAGGACTCTAATCGAAGCTCCTCTAGTTCTTGGAGTTGCAGTCTCCTTTGCTCTCCCGCTTTTTCCATGTCGAGATTGAATGTTTTTACCGCCCAATAAGACTTGTGTTCTAGTTCGACCGGAAGGTGACAAGCCTTACCGAACACGAGTCTATAGGGTGACATTCCAATTGGGGTCTTGAAAGCGGTTCTGTATGCCCATAAGGTATCATCCATGCGTAGGCTCCAATCCTTACGGTTTGGATTAACTGTCTTTTGAAGTATATACTTCAGCTCTCTGTTTGATACCTCGGCTTGACCGTTTGTCTTGAGCAGTTAGGTTCTTAGCAGTTCCTGAGCAGTTTGTCTTTCCTTGATCGCTCAGGAGTGTGTCTTTTGAAGAACTACACTCTGCATTTCCTGAGCAGTTGCCTCAGCAGTTCCCTGCTCTTGGCCACCTGCTAAGCCAACTGCTAGCATTCTAAGCCAAATACTCTCCAAGTTAGAAAGTGGCTAAATACTCATTACATAAAGGGTAAAGACTGTTGGAAAAATGTGTTAAAAATTGCATTAAATGGTCATTTTGGGGCAATTATTTGAGTGGGGTCCACTTCCGATTTGAGTCGGGTCAAAGTGGTTTCGGATTGTCCTTGTTAAGGGCTACAATTCGATATATGGTACGCTCAAAACGGATAACGGGTGAATGAGAAATTGATTCTCGAAGTTCGCTCGTTGTAATGGAAAAACTGGGGAAATGATGAGTTTCTAGTGTGTTTTATCCCACACCGAAAAACTCAAGGGATTTTCACCCCCTTTTAAAGGGAAGCCTCTTTTAAGGAGTTAAGATTCCTAAAGGGAAAGGCTCTCTCTTACGCGCAGGGGGGGGGTGCCGATCAAATCCCGAAACGGAGAAGAAAATCCGCGACTCGTGTGCGCGGGCGACCTGCGGACACGAATGCCGTCCAAAAATCTATTTCTCAAGAGATACGGTTCATTTTTGTTTTCTTCCCAAACGTTTTTTCCCAGAAGGCCTCGAACAGAAAACCTCCAAGGGAGTTCTGTTGGCTCCGGACAGAAGGCCTCGAACAGAAACCCTCCAATGGAGTTCTGTTGGCTCCGGACAGAAGGCCTCGAACAGAAACCCTCCAAGGGAGTTCTGTTGGCTACGGACAGAAGGCCTCGAACAGAAACCCTCCAAGGGAATTCTGTTGGCTTCGGACAGAAACCCTCCAAGGGAGTTCTGTTGGCTACGGACAGAAGGCCTCGAACAGAAACCCTCCAAGGGAATTCTGTTGGCTTCGGACAGAAACCCTCCGAGGGGAGTTCTGTTGGCTTCGGACAGAACCCCTCCAAGGGGTGTTCTGTTGGGGTCTTCTGCCGCACACTTCTTCCGTTACAACAATTAATGCCCAACGTTCTTATCTTTTAATGCTGCGTTAAATGGACAGTTTATGGACGATTCAATGCCCAACGGACTGGTCATTGATGTCCAACGTTCAGGTCCATTAACACCCCATTTAACACACAACAAATCCTCCTATAAATAGCTGGCAGGTGCTTTGTAACACACACACGGTTTGATAACGCACAACACTTTCCTCACGTTTTCTTGAGCTGAAAACTCTTCCAGCTACTCCCAAAAATCCTTCTGTGTTCATACTTGGTTCTCGTTCGCTGGAACTCCTGTTTGTGTGCTCAAACATTAGTTCGTAGTCATCGTATCCTGGGAAACGATTGTTGCAACGCTCCTAGCACCGTGGGAGGCAACAAATACGTTTTAAGGAAATCGTGCGTAGCACGAGCTTTGGCTAATTCTGCTTCATCTCCTTTCTTGTTTTTCTCCAGTCATTTTATTTAATTAATTTATTTTAATTAATTTTCTTTATTTTCCGAAACACACCCAACAAAGACTTCCGCTGTGCATCTATAAATCTCTCAAAAGTTTATAGATTAGCTCTTTTAGAGGGAAAACTTTTAAAAGTCGAAAAAGATTTAAAAGTCTATTCACCTCCCCTCTAGACTTTTACCCTATCTGGGACCATCAGTTTGCATTATAAAGCTCTAAATTTGGGTCAAACATTTGTTGTTTTGCAGCTTTGAGAACCTATTTTTATAAGGAGCATTGTGCTCTACTCGATCTGGAAAGCTTCACACAAGGTGTGTAAGGATATTATGTGTTACTCATAGTGATTACTATAGTTATGCCATTGTATATTGGTGTGTATATAGTTTTAGCTTGTTCAAAGTGTGCTTATTATATATGTGTATTCTCCAATTTCAGTTGTCTAATGGACTTCATAAGAACTATTATATATATAAAAACATTAGTTTATGTAGTTTCACCTGATTATTATCTTCCTCAAGGAACATAATAATGAGGAACAACTTATCAAATTGTCAAGGTAGTTTGATTGATAACCATACTGATGATTGTTATTGTTGTTACTCTTCTTAAAATTGTTGTTGTTCTTAGTGTTATCATTTTCAGGTATTTGTGTCATATTTTTGTTTGCAGACTGATGATTTGCATTTTTATTGTACAATATCAATCATGTCATGGAACAAGATAATATCATAAGTCTCAACTTATTGATTTCCCATCAGTCATGCTATTTTCCATGCATTTCAAAATCACCTATAGTATTGATGTTTTTAGAATTTAAGTCTCGTTACTGTTTATAATGAAGGTTGCTGTAGGAACGACATCCAATGATCCAAAGTAAATAAACAATTTATGTCCTC